AGTTATGGCTTGGAAAGGCGTAAGTGTTGTATGTGGTATTTTTGGGAACTCACTAAGCATTTATGCTTACAGTTGTTGTGTTGTGTGTTTCATGTACTAGCGAGGACCGTGGGAAGGCGCCGACATGATCCGTACATACTGAGAGGATTTATGTATATGAGATCTTTTGAGATTCTAGGATTTGTTTATTATGATGACATTGGATACAGTTGTTGGCTATTGTTTTTAGTGATTGAAAATATGATTTAAAAATGAAAAATTGTTTAGAAAATTTTGTCGTTACATCTAGACTTGCATTGGACATGCAAGTCCATAAAGTTATGATTTTTATGTTGGAATAGGAGTATGAAATCCTTCTAGAAGATATGGGTTTATGGCTTTGGTTATTAAGAGCTTAATAGTTGAGTCATTGCCTTAAGTTGCCATTAAGGATCTAGGTTTAGGGAATTAGACTCATTGGGATATAGGGTAAAATTGGAAACTTTATCCATCAAGACCTTGGAAAGGTCTAGATCTGATCTTTGTAGCTCTTGAGGTTAAAGGAAAACAACTTAATCCGTTAATCTGTTGAGACCCAGTTCTCACGATGTGGCAAATGGGAGGCCAGCTGTGGCGACTGGGGGATGTCCGATTATTTTGTAGTTTTTCTCCCATGTCGTGGCAAAGGGGAGGCCACGACGTGGCGATCTGCTGAAGTAGACTTTGACCAATTGACCATTGACTAGTTTGACTTTTAGTCAAACTTGGAGAGGTGTTGAGCTATAACTTGAGTTTTAGCTGGTGATTGGTTTAGGAGGATAATGTAGAAGACTCTGTGGGACTAAGAGTAGGAATTTCAGCTCTTCATTTAGGTGGGTCTTCTCATTATACTATAGGATGCTAGGTATCATTTTGTGCATGTTTTCTTCGTGACTCTTGTTGGTATGTTTGTATGTTATGTGTATGCGGGTTGATACAGACCCATAGTTGATACAGACCCAATGGAGTCGATCTGGACTCAGAGTTGATATGGACCCGGGGTTGATGCAGATTTGATGGAGTCGATATGGACTTGGAGTCAATACGAAATCGGTGTTGATATGGACCTGGGGTTTTTACGGACTCGTTATAGCTATGTGTTGTTATATTTGTGGTATGTGGTATTTTGGTGTAACATCCCAAAAACCAGAATAAAATTTTCATTCTCAAAATCATTCCAATATTACTTTTAGTTACAAAAACAAGTTTTCCAAAAATTATAATCCATAATTAGAGTGTCCTAAAACATGAATTCCGAGGGATGTGCATGATCACGCCTTCGCCTAGTCCGAACATCTGAGGTACCTGAAACACAACACTGAAACCATAAGCGAAAACATAGTGAGTTCCCCAAAAGTACTACACAACAACCAGATAACAAAAAATATTGGGCCCACAACCAAATGGACTGGATTACCCTTAAGTCCATAACATGATTCTGGCATGTCATTCCCGACGCTCAGCTCATGTTTGGCTTGCTCCCGAGCCCGCAACATAAGTCTAGATTGTCATTTATGCCCATAACTTATGACTAGATTGCTCCCGGGTTTGTTGGCACATAACACAAAGCAGTGACACCTCAACCCAACAACCATATGGCGACATATAATAGCTAACAAACAATCACAGATTATCATACCGATCTAACAGATCACTATATCACAATAATATCATGTAACCAGAAATCATATCTAATAGCCCAAAGGATGTATAACTATATGTACTCAGAGGTGAGTAGACACTCAGACAGCTGACCCTACTCTAGAGTGACAACGAAACAAGGAACATGCAAGAACGCCTATATCAACGAAACAACGAAACACAAAACAGGCAAGAAACCTATTCATAAGTACAGTGAGAAAGAACGCACCTTGCAGTCTGACGAATAGATGAACAATACACTGCTCTGAATACCAGCTCTACTAGTCACATATTCAACAGATAGAGACCAAGGCTTAACTATAGCTAAAAATACCCAAAATACCCTTATATCAAACATGGATAACCCTGGCCAAAGTCAAAGTCAACGGTCAAGGTCCAAAAGTTAAGATTCCTTCCCAGCGGAGTACGCCCAGCGTACTCTGATGTTAACCAAAAAGCGAGGCGTTGACCGCGTACGCATAACGTATGTTGGTCAGTCCCAAAACTCCATTAAGAGCTTAATCCATTAAGCCCTTTCGTCCAAAACTCAGATCTAAGCCCAAAATGATGTTTTAAGTCATAAAGTTTCCAACTTTATGACTTTGCATGGCTATAAAATGCTTAATGCCCAAAACCTTAAGTTCTTAGCCTAATGAGACCATCTAACACATGTATTGGTTTCATTCATCACTCAAGATCACATTTATATGTACACTAACACTCTGAAATGACTTAGAGTAACCCATACTCAAAATTCCAAGCTAATGGGACCAAAATGTTCACAAATTCAAGGCTAACAAGATCTTAAACAAACCATCATCCAGTTCAGAGCTTTTTACCTCAAAATGATGCCAAATGGTGATGAGATTCTAGATCTAGGGTGTTTCACTCTTCCAAGGTGATATTCTCTTCTTCTCCTTCTTTCTTAGTCACCAAAAGTACCCACAAAAGCTCAAGAACACACTCAAAGTGGATTAGGGTTCTAGATGGACAGTATGGCAAGTGGAGGCTGAGGAGGGGAAGGGGTCTTAAGCCATAAAGATGAAATATATAGTGCACAAACCCTAAATAATTAGGGTTTGGCCTAGTCGGAATACGCCCAGCGTACCATAGGAGTACGCCCAGCATACTCATGCAGGCACGTCCTTTTCCTAATTTGCCACATGGGACCCTTTTTGCAAATAAATCTCACTCCAAGGGTTAAAAATGTAATATTTGCAAATCGAGGTATTACAACTGAGGAAGTTTCTTAGGTATGTGCTTATAGTTGTGGATTAAATCTTTTGCAGGTTCTTATCAGATTGCGAAGGTGAGACTATACACACACATCAACGCCTTGTGATTCTAGATTCTGCATTGTCTTTCTTATAACTTTGATTTCTAAATAATGGTTTATGAACAAATGGTTTGATTTTAATGTAATTTTCTTAAAAATTGGTGTTTATTCTATTTTTAAAAATGAAAAAAATTATTCTGAATTTAGGACGTTACAAAAAGCATATAGAACTTAATTTATGAATACATGCAAAAGCCTAGAATATCATTTTTTTTCTCATTTTACTCCTTTTGCTTCAAAGCACAATTTAATGGCTTAAATCACTTAAATAACATTATCAATATCCAATAAGGTCTAACTTTTATTCTCTTGAAGCCCAAAACCCTTGATCAAATTACGGTTCATTATATCAAAATTAGAGACATCCCAAAACTGGATGTTATATTATTTACGTAGTTTCAAATGGAAAATGGTCAACATTGGACAAAATTGAAAAAAATGATGTTAGATTTGGAACAAAAAAATGGAATGTCAAAATTAAAAAAAAAAAAAATTAAAACTTAGTGTCAAAATTGAAAAAAAAAATGAAATTTTAGTGTCTTTTGTGTTACTTTTTTTTCAATTCTGACACGTTAGCATGTTACGTCAGCACGCAACCAAGTTGACCAGCCAAATTATCAGAATTGTAACAAATTAGAATTGCAATATCCAATTTGAGACAACAAATAACAGTGTCAAATCGAATTTTCTTATAAATTTAGTGACTTTTGTTGTATATATCAATAATAATAATAATAATAAGATTGTGAAATTTGTCTTTGCTTTTAAAAACGTGAAACTAATAATAATAATAATAATAATAATAATAATAATAATAATAAGATTGTGAAATTTGTCTTTTTCTTTTAAACATGTGTAACCAATAAAAAGATTAATAGGTACAAAATTTCCAAATTTAAGTGTATCTATCAACAATAGTTAACTAAATCAGCTGTGACCCGGTTATTGGTTATGTCATCGAGTACGATACCTTATTTATTAGAAATAAAAGTTATTATGATAATATATATATATATATATATATATATATATATATATATATATATATATATATATATATATATATATATATAAAATTTAGTCACTCAACGTTTTCAAGAAAAACAATCTTAACGTATCTCTTGGGGTCCATGAAAGGAGGAACCTTGAGTAACAAACAAGAATAATATGATTATAAACGCCGTTTCTTCTTTGACTTATTGCAAGTTAATTTATTTTCAAGAGAAATTGATATAAACAATTAGGGGACAAAGGGTCCATCGTTTTAGAAAAAAAATCAATATTGATAGTTGTTGAGAGAAATGAAGTAATTGTCATGAAACTCTAAAAGAATTCTTAAGAGAAAGAAATGGTAATTGATAATGGAATATCTACAATTATATGGGTTGGAATTGGTGTTTTAACCAAGAAAATAACTATATATATAAAAAATACCAATATCACCTCTTCAAAATTACATATTTTTCAACTACGTTTTAACCTAACCGACTTGTAGCACTTTTCCAACTTCAGTTATGGGGGAGAGGGTTCACCTTGGCGATTATACAAAATAAATTATTCTATGGAGTTCAGAGTGGTATCTCACTGATGGCTCGAACCCCCCGGAAGGAGGCTTTCTTCGCCTTCCACCTAAGCTACGCAGGAAAAACCCAAAGTCAATCCCAAAGAACAGTTAAGCTTCATAGGGTCTTTATGTCCAGATGCAGTACTGCAAACCTTTCTCTTGACCATCTTCGTCACCCATGAATGTAGCTTATGAATAATGTAGCTCACATAATTTGAGCATGGATTAATAAGCAAGATCTTCCGCATAATTTAAATAAGCAACATCTTCTACATTACTTATCAAATTAGCCATAACACGATTTTACTGTCAAAATACATTTTTTAATTGCCACAAACCATATACTATCAAAATATGTTATTAGCCAAAATATGACATTCCACTTTAACATTAAACTCTCAAATATCTATAAATTTTTATAACAAAATACAACAAACAATACATTTACCTCAATAAAATCATCAAAATGTACCCATCCAAGTATTATTTTAATACTTGACGCTCTTTCCGTACATAGACAACACAATTTATTCTTCAACCTAATAAGGGTGACTTAGCGGTCAAATATATTTCACAAATTATTGTGATTCATAAACCCGACTCTTCTCATGCCACCTCTTAATTCTCACGAGTAATACATCAAAACAACAAATAAAGTACTTAATATGACTTCAAATAACCCTCTTAAAGGTAGTTGACCACAGACCTATACATTGATCCCGGCTTCCATCCACTAGGAATCACATTTTTTGCGACTAAGATACGCTCTGAGTATTGTGATACCAATCTTATAGAAAATGGAGGGTGTAGCTCCCTCCCAGGGTCGATTTTCCAAACTGCACCCCAAGATTGTACCATTTTCAACCATTTGGTACTATTTTCTTCTTTTAAACTCACTCCACCTAAATCTCCATCACCTTCTTCGAATTCAACCACCATAGCAAAGTAATTAGGGTTCGATCCCTGGTCTACATGGAACACTATGTTTGTTCTTGAATAATCACACTCAACCCTTCAAAAATACAAAAGAAACGGTAACCAGAAATTTCAGAAAACGATAAAAATGTGCATCAACATCATGGTTATCTTTGGTTTTGAAAATGTAACAAAGTAATGATTAAATTGTATATCATTGTAAACCTTGTCACTATTTGGGGTGGTTATAATTTTTTGTGTTTCTTCCAAAAGACAAAAATCAGCTATACTCAAAAGACAAAGAAATGTTATTTTATTTGGAACATATGCAACAAACGTTATAAAACCTCTAATTAATAAAGACCAAAATTATAGAAATTAACTATATTTGGAGAACAAAATGTAATTTACTTCAAAATAAAATTACCTTGCAAATCGAATTTGCAAATCTCCTGCGTCACGTAAATGTTTTTCTTGGCCTGGTTTTGCCATCGCACCAAATGCGGTTCCGCTAAGATCAAAATGAGCATGGCCAGCTGCACACTTGCCTCCGGGGCAAAAATCAGTGATAACAACCCTAGCCGGCTTGTGTGAACATGCCGGATGTTTGGTACACTTTACCTACGTACATAACAATAATAATAATAATATTAAAGACTCTTTAAACAGCTCCAAGTAACAAGTTTGATCGCAAATTATAACAAATTATGAGACTTTCAAACTCGTACATTAACAACATTTTACTAACATGCATAAAAATAAAATTAAAAATATTTGTAAATGTGGGGTCCACGTGTTCCTACCATATAACAAGCCCCACATTCTTTTCCTGCATTATACAGAGATGGGCCAATTCCAGTCACCATGGAAGAAAACGGTGCTTGTGACACTGCGGGTCCATACCCACATGAACCTCCTGCATGCATTGTTTTTACCAAGTTAGCCTTTCATTCACCTTATAATATTACCAAAATGCAACATAAGTAAAGAGGGTAAATATGGAAATATATATATGTGTAGTGGAACCCAATTGCAATATACTTAATTAGTACTTACCATCACTTCCAGCACCATCGGGACTGCCATACCAGGTGGCAGAGGCGGTGGACCAGTGGGTGGCTACGGTGGATATGTTGAAGTGTTTTGGTCTTATGGCAAATGAGAATGTGAAGAAAGTGGTTAGAAGAAATAAGCAGAGTCGGAAATGTGAAGACATGGTGGCCATTAATGCTTTTTGGTGCTTGACCACTAAAAGTGTACCAAATTTCTTGCTTTTTTAAGGGGCTGCAAATAGGGTTTTTATAAGGGGTTTTGTGAGCATTGTTGCTTTCAAGTCCACGTTTGCCATGTTCTTAATTTGTCATGTTTGGATTCAAATCTAACCCGTTTTTGTCATTTTGAATTTTATTTTTTTATATAACCGACAATAAGATAACATTGAGTAACATGTTATGTTTTCATATCATTTTTGCATCTTAATTCAGCATTCGTCTTGCCATCAGTTACCATATACTATATTGGTCTCATCCTTAAGTTTTACCATATAATAATAATAATAATAAGAATAATAATAATAAGAATAATAATAATAATAATAATAATAAGTTGATTAAGTGGGATTATCGAGAAATTTACCTACGGTCGAGGATGAATATATTTTCCAATATGGCGTCCAAATGTTAGATTGGGTTTGAGAAAAAAACACATAACAGGACCAATGTGTGAAGTGTGAACGGAAATGTGACATGCGCCGTTCAGGGATGTTTTCAAGAGTAATGATGTATATGATATCGCAAAAATAAATTCAAATAATTGAATGTCATATAACGGGTTGTGGGAGATAATTTTGGCAATGTATTTTATGTTTGAGGTTGTAAGAATCAAATATTAGTTTAAGATAAATTAAATATCCTTTTACTTTTTGTTCCTACAAATCATCATATCCAATTAAATAGTGACATGTGTAATAATTAATGTTTATTTAATGATATTTTAATACATTAATATGACACATATCATCATTTAATTAGATAGGAAGATATGTAGGAAGAAAAGTAGGAGGATATATAATTTCTCTTAGTTTAAATGTTTATCAAAATTTGATAATCAAAAAATTAATATATAAAATTAGGTATGAGATTCATGTATTACATGAATTTATTTAAAAGAAAAAACTAAATATAAAATTCTAAATATTTGAGAAATTTGAATTTGTAAAAAAATGAGAAAAATATTGAATTATAAAAATTAAAGTGTTTTTTTTTCTACAAATTTAAACAAATAATTTAGAAAAAATTAATAAAGGAAATTAATCAAGCTTTAATTTAGTAATTTTGAAATTAAAAGGAAAGTTTATTCAGGTAATTAATATGCATTTTATTATTGCATTTAAATACTATGTGGAATTTAATAAAATAAAAAAACCATAAAATGACATGTGGAATAAAAATTAATTCAAAATAATCACAAAATAACATCTGACAAATTGAATGTGAGTGTGACAAGTGGCAAAAAAAAACTTTCATTTATTAGAGTAGATGATCAAAATAATTTAATTCTTAAAAGTAGACACGCAATGAATAAAGTCTACTCTTCAAAATTTGGTAAATACACACTATATCTACTCCTAAACTATATTTTTCATCCCCAACGAGAACTGAACCCACAACATTTTGTTGAGGGTCACATTCCACCAACATCTTATACTTCTAGGCTACAAGCCATTTGCTTCACCTTAGCTTTTATTTATCAATTTAAATATTTGAATTTTTGGATCTCTCTCTATGTAGTGGTCGGCCTTTTAAAAGCTTCGCCATAAGCGACTAGTCGCTTCCCTAATGCCTTTTTCCTTGCCACCAAACCATTAGGAGAGTCAACAAGCTAGCTTTCTTGCATTCTAGAAACGATAGCTTACGTGCCCTTCCTGCCTACTGAAATGGATGTGAATGATCCTGATAAATATGAAAAGCCTATTAGTCTGATTAGATATGTCACTGAAAGAAAGTGATTATGTTCCCTTTTTTTAGGATTCTGAGATGGGCCGGCCTATGCTAACATCATTTATGAGGAGTCGAATGACAAAGCCCCTCCTCATATAAGGATGTGTCCGACGCAACTCTACCGGCAATCAAAACTTTATATATTTATTTGTTTTTTGGTGGGTGAAGAGTGTTTAAATCGAGTTTAGAATACGAAATCAATCACATGATGCAATAAGAACACAATCGTAAATAATATCTGTTTGGCTCATTAATTGTTTGAAAAGTACACCAGTTCTAGAGAGAGAGAATACAAGAACGAAACGTGCAAAAGCTACTATCTACCCCTATATTTACTCTATTTATAGAGTGATACAGACGCACAAAAAATATGCAAGGACTAGACATTGGATTTCGACATCAACAAGTGCTTTGCAAAATACATACACTCCGAAGTACAAGACTTCGCACCTAAACATACCAAAATTAATTTCGACATCTCACTATACATTTCGCACCCTACAATCTCCCCCATAGTGAGAAGAGTCGAAATCATGTCATTAGCTTCATAGTCTGAAGAAGTACTACGCGAATCTCCATATACCAAAGTATTGTCTTTCAAATTTCATCCTTGTCAATTGCTTCATTCTGTTTGCAGTTATTGATTCAAACAAGAAGGCTTGTATATTGGGAATTCGTGTACCTCTCTACTTCAACAACTTGAAACAAAAACTTCGTCATCCTTTCGTTCTTGATTTTGCCACGAAACACCACTCCCAAAGGCTGATGAATGATTTCCCTATCTTTATATTTATCAATGTTGATCTTCCCCTTCAGCAAGGACTGGGGAACTTTCGAAATCTTATTGATAGCCATAGCTAGCTCAATATCAGTAATTGCGAGGCAATCATAATAGTTATCAATGAACACATTGATATGAGCAAGCCAATGAGAAAATCATCCTTGTTGTTTTCTGGCAGCTTCGTTACATCCACATTGCTTAAAATCGTTGTCACAGTGACCAACTCATTTAAGTTCATCAATGGGAAATCAGCAATCGAAAAATCACAAAACACATTATTCACTCTAACAACCACATAGCAAAAATTTTGTAGTATGCCTTCGAACAAGTTCTCTCGTGAAATAGACATCACTTTTATGATCTTTATAGACGACCACACCTCCTCTTCACTTTTCCCCAAGAGTGCATGAAATCGCATCTTCAGTGTTTTGTATTCTTCTTTGTCATTGAAGCGACGAACTAACTTGTATTGAGAAGACATGTACATCATACGATTTATTGGGAAATCAAGTTGATTAAAATTAGAGTTCTCAACATCATAACTCTTCTTTGGTACTTTGCAAAAATACTCAAACTTCCCAATTGAAACAATTTCCTCAATAGTTTCATAACACCAATGTTTTTTGGGATCTCCCTTGTTCAAGCATGGTGGATCATTCTGCCTTCTCCTGAATATACTATTGACTTGCCTCTACCTTTCGATTTCCAAGGCTTGTTGTTTCTTCTTTTCTTCTTCTGACGGAGTTACCAAAACACCTTTTCCTTTGTCTCCTTGATTGTTTTTCGAAGGAGGTGGCATGGAGCTTGAACCAAAACAGCCAACACTTTCGCTTATAACAATCCCTTTCGTAATAGGTCTTGTTGTGGTAGTTTTCGAAGTTGTTGTTAATGAAACTGGAAGCGAAGTGGATATTTGAGTAGACATCACCTTCCCAACTGTTGGATTAAGTGTCTAAGCCCATAACTATAATTGGTATGTACTTGACCTGAGAGTAGCATGGTCTATTTCGGGGTGCATATCACCAGGACAATTTGAAAGGATGGATATTAGAGTAAGAGGTTATTTATGATTTATTAATATATTACAAGTATAATATATTAATTGTGAAATCATATTATTTAATTAGTATTGATCAAGAACTAATCCAAAATTAATTTAGTGATCAAAAGAGACTAATTAAATTAACGGGGAATGATTATGTAAATCAGTGATATATATTGTTTGGGTTATTGATCCACGATGGGCTAAGTTTATGTAAGTATCCATGAAGAGTTAGCCCACATGAGATATGGATCATAAGCCTATGTGTATGGATTAGGGTTTACACATGACCCTTGGAATCCTACACTATATATATGTTATCCCTTAGCCAAAATCAGTTGACATAAGTCTTCTAGGAAGATCTATAACCGATTTTGTGTGCTCCATATTCTCTCTCTTGGAATCCTACACTATATATATGTTACCTCTTCGCCAAAATTAATTGAACTAAGTCTTCTAGGAAGAACTATAACCGATTTGTGTGCTCCATATTCTCTCTCAAGTTCTCCTTTGTTTATGGTGTGTTGTGAACTGTTTGAGGCATCACATTTGGGGTGCTAAGTTCTTCAAGGCCAAAATTCAACAAGCGACAACAAGAGGTAATCTTCTAATCTATTTTTATGATACAAGTATCAAATTGTATGCTAGTTGTAGGCTTCATGCTTTGGATATTTTATTGCATATATAACTAGAGAAAACTTAGATCCAAAGCATTAGGGTTGTATGTGCACCATAGGAGTCCTGTAGTATGCAAAACCCAACACGGGTATCAGAGCCAGGTAGTTTTATGTTATACAGATGCATTGGTTAATTGTTCAAATCAAGAAAAATCGTTTTTTTGGAATTTGCATGATCACCATGACGTGGTCAAAGTTACCACAACGTTGTGACAGTTCAGTGGACGATTTTTTTTAGTTTTTTGGCCAAGTTTTAGATTAGAATCATTACCACAAACTGTTTTGGACTGTTAAAATTCATTTTTTCTGATATGGTAATGATTATCCCATCCAATTAAAAGATAAATTGTCAAATCATGAAATTATTACTAGTTTATATGATAAACTAATTGTTTGTTAAATTTGATTTGAAGTTATCTTACTATAAGAGTTGCATTAAATCAAATTTGTAAAAGATCAAATTATGATTATTTTATTGGTTTTAAAATTTGATCTAAATGTTTTTAGGAGTTATAAAACTTGCCATTAAGTTTTGGAACTCAAATTTTTATGATGGAGTTACAAATACTGTCATCAAGTTTGGAACTCAAAAGGTTTTCAAGAGTCACAAAATTGCCCTCTAAGTTTTAGTATTTGAAAAGTCTCAAATTATGAAACATTGATTTCTAAAACTCTTGTAATTAAAAGGTGCAACTCTTGGGTTCATACCTTCAAATTAATTAAATAGTTTTAATTTTGTATTTTATGTTTAGAACCTTAATGTCTTTTGAATAGTT